ACGGTGAACCGGTCCATCAGTGGGCAGGCGCATAAGGATGAGGCGCTGAAGGAGCTGAAGCAGGGCCACGTCCGCTCGCTGAGTGAGAGGATCATGCAGCTCTCGCTGGAGAGGAACGGGGCCAAGCAGCATCCCCCGGCCCCGGGGGGCGGGAAGGGCTTCAAGGCGGCCCCATTGCCTGGCAAGGCCGCAGACCCACGGGGCCCGCCACCCGAGTACCCCTACAAAGGCAAGGCGGCAACCCCCGGGCGAACGAGGCCTCTTCTACGGCGAGCAGCCGGCGCAGGATGTCCTCAAGGCCTCCTACACCGCCCCCCAGCCCGCCCGGGCGGAGGTCGCCCTCGTCCGCTACCAGCCACCCCCAGAGTATGGGGTCAGCAGGTAATGGTCGTCAAGGGGGGGGCGAGTTTGCTGGAGGGACCTGATCATGCCCTGGCTGGAGGAACCAGCTTCTAAGGGGCTTGGGCCTTGCGTAGATGTGGCCCCTGGGAGCTTCGGCCTCAGGCACATGGTGGGGACATCGTGCTCCCAGGCCCGTGCAGGACAGCTGGTGGAGGCACCTGCATCTCGAAGAGGGCTGTATAAAGCATATACGCTGCTTATGCCCTACTTAAATCTTCCCAACAGAGCTCGTGCAGGGCTTTCACGGTACGGGGCCCCTCGTGCCAGGCCTCCTCGCAAGCACGGGTTTATTCCAAGCGCATTAAAAATAATCCAGAGCGTTTACTCATTGCAAGCTGATCCCTGTGAGCGGTGCAGGTCCTGCCCAGCGCCCAGGCAGGTTTGCTGCCTTCAGAGGTGAGCCCATGCATTGGGGGCTCCCTTTTCCTTGCTGTACCTAAATACAAGTGTTTCTCTGTGTCATCCCTGTCTTGTTGATCTACTGGACAGCATTTTGATAGATTTGGAAGGCTGGTGTTGTCTGGTGTGATTGTGGGTGGCTTTCATGTTGCGAGCTACCTCATTAGGCGTTTTCCTGACCCCAAAATCCCCACAGGTTTTGTCGGCGTTGACTTCAGTTGCATGCGCTTACTTTGCCACAGCGCAGGCACAGAGAAAAGATGGCGCAGCTGACCTGGCTCTTCCTTTCCGAAATTCGTAAGGCGTGATATCAGAGGGTGAATGCTCTGCCTGTCTGTGTTTGCGAAAGTGATGGGTTTCGTGTCAAGACAGGGAGGAACTGGGAGCGTGGCTTTGATGGATGTTGCAAAGCAGTTGTGACAAGCGGAGGGCCCGCGCTGTGTGCCGCTGGCCTTCCTCCAGTTACACTTGTGTTTTGATTACCAGCCTGCCACTGTGAGGAGTTTGTGCAATTTTTTTGGTGCGAGAAGATATTTTTAAGAGCTTGGCAAAAATCTCTGTTTATGCTAAGAACCAGCTATACGAACTTGAGGGCAATGGGGTTGAGCTGGGACTGGCTCAGCCACCAGCCATTTGTGGTGCTGACAAACTTCTTCGGCACCAAGCAGATTCATCCCCACAGAAAAGGATCTGATTTGAGTTTTTTAGTTACTCTTGGAAAATGCTGATTCAATACCCACAGAGTCTGTTCTGCTGAGTCCGTGTGAGCGAGCAGGCCTGGGCACTGCATGCACTGCTGCAGCTAACCAGGAACAGCACCAGTGACAAGTGGGAAATGCTTTGGGACCAGTTTCAAAACCTGTCCAGGTGCCTGATCCGCAAGGTTAATGCTGAGAAAAGACTTGCTTTCAGTGCAGCTTTCCACACCAGGAGTGCAGGCCAGCCACCCTAGCTTTATGCCAAGACACTGCTGGATCACCCCAGCAGCTGTGGGGATAAACTTCCTCTGCTCAGGATAGTGGTTACTGCACATTCCTGGTAGGGCAGCATGGTTTAACCCCCAGATCACACTGCAGAGGGGATGCCTGCGACCCCTGTGTGCTGTTTTCTTTGCATGATGCTGGAGAAATGTCTCTCCTGGCAGGTTCAGGGGCGCCAGGGGGATGTATTGTGCAGCAGAGGACTGGCAGCGTGGCAGAGCAGAGCTGTTGCAGGTTGCAGACTTACTAAAAAATCTTGGGTGGTGTCTTTCTTGCAGCTCAGCAAGGACCTGAATACCTCTTGGTCTGCATATATTCAGCTGGCTACTCCAATGTGCGTTTCCAGGGGTAGATTTGGAGGTTGGCGTAGCTGGGGGGTGTTTCACCAAAACTAGGTTTGGTCTAAGGCGTGTGGCCTCTCTTGTGCTTTCTCTAAGGCAGTTCTGGGTCCTGGTGTGAAGACGGGGATTTTCAGGTCCTTCTCGGCTCCTTTCACACGGTGCCTGGATCTTGGGGGATGTTTCCTGCCTATGTGTTCCTGACAGCTACATTTTAGGCAGTAATTAGCACTAGCAGGACAGTTGCTCACTTGCAGACTTGTGCCGTTGCTTTGCGCAGCAGCTGTGGCAACGTTGCGCAAGGAGGTGTTGGCAAGCAGTGGTCTTCGTCCTCATCTTGTTTTCTTTTCTGTGATATTTTTCAATACAGGACTGTTGACATGTCGCTTTGCTTGGACACCGAAATATTCACTGTCGGCATTACCCAGACTTGTTCTTAATTGGTGTGAACTGGTTTGGTTTCTTCTGCTGTGCCATACACCAGATTATAACTGGCCCCACGGGCTGCAGGATCCCCTTACAGCCCTGCTACCTGGGAAAATTTGGGTTGACAAAAGCCTTTAGGAAGTGTCAGTAATCCCAGGGTGCTCATCACTTGCCATTTCGCAGTCTGCAGCAGCTGTGCTCTGTGGCATCCCTACGTGACAGCATGGGCTTGCCCAGATCTGGAATGAGCATGGTTCAAATCCAATTTCACAAAATGGCCTCTGCCCCAAATACTTCTCTCTCTGGAGAGGGTTAAGCAGGTTACCTGTCCAGGGATGTCAGCCCAGTCTCTGCTAGAGGACTTGTCTGGGCGGCAGCCCGAGCCCTGCTGGAGGAGAGCTGAGGTCTGTGTTACACTGCTGGGTTGCTCCCAGGCGCAAACCTTCCTGTGCCTCTGCTCTTGCTCACAGCTTCCCACCTTACCTGGGCTTTGGGGAGGCTCACAACCAGCCATCTGGCTGGGATGGAGGACCTTGAGAAGAGAGGTCAAGTAAGGGGACTACCCCGTTTCATAAGGTTAATGGGAGAGTAGGGTTTGGAGAGACTGTTTTTTTTATGTTGGAGGAGCAAGCGAGGTGGGAAATTCCAGCTTTTGTCTTGTAGGGAGGGCCTGGGAAACAAGCTAATGGAAGCAGAGCTTTGCCCATGGTCAGATGGGAATCTCATATATCCCGTATATCATATATCTGCTTCCCTCTATCCTGGCTGTATCTGTTCCCTAGCCTGTCCATCGTGGCATCCTCTGAACAGAGACTGTGCAAAAGGCTTCTGCCTTCCAGAAAACAGAGGAGAGAAGCACAGAGCTGCATCAGTCCAGAGGAAGCACCCACAGATACCAGGGATGAAAAAGGCCTGTAGGGTTACTGATCCCCCCCTCAGCCCCCATCCTGTGACAAGGGAAATCTGGCTGGAAGCTCACAAATGCTGGCAGGGAGCTGTTGAAGGATATAGGATAACTGCAGCTGCTGTTTAACTTGCTGTTTTGGTTTGGCTTTTTTTGGGCACGTGTCTGGTTTTAAAGGGAACGTTGCCTTTATAATCATCATGATGAAATCTCACAACTTTACGGTAAACCTCAGGATATTTGGTATTGTCCTGAAGACCTCCTAGAGTCTATGATGCTGCAGTAATCTCAGCATTTATATAAATTAGACTTAGTGACCTCTGGTTTATGGACATCATGATTGCAGAGCAGAGCTTGAACCCTGAAGCTTAAAAGGCCAAAAAACTAGAAGGCAAATAAAAAGGAACCGATATTTGTTCCTGTTTTAAAATATCAGTATTTTTAAGCCAGTTGTATGATGCTTGGGGCCCTGACTCATGACTTCTGAATGCTTTAAGTGGCCAAGTGTAATAATCTTTAGAAAACCTTTCCTTTCCTAGATGTGCGGCTGTTCCTGAATGGTGGCTTTGCTAACTTTCCTTAGGTGCATGTTCAGAGAGTCACAGCTCGTCAGGTAAACGGGCTTGGAAATAATCTAATTTAGTCTTTAACACAATGCCATGACTTAATTCCAGTTTGTGAAATATTCAGTCCTGGTGATTATAATGCTCTCCATCTGGAGAATCCATCACAGCCTTTACAGATTTGTTCCACTAGCTAATTGCTGTCTCTGGCACAGATCTGCATCTTAGTTTTAGCCTGTATTTTCTAGTTACCCATTGGGATTTTGCAATATCTTTGTCAGATACAGTGAGTAGCCCTGTGCTGTTGGTCCTTTAATGCATTTAACAGGTAAGCTGGAGCCCTGTAATTATTTCAGTGTTGTCAAAAATGCCTTTTTTCAGTGTGAAAAGCTGACCTCAACACCATTGCAGTACCAGCTGAACCAGAGGCTAATCGGATATACTCTCACCTCTGCAGTGGGACTGGTTCCTCGTTTACATAGCTCATTAACACTTGCTGTTTCAGATGTTGGCACCCCAGGAGCTCCCCATCCAGCTTGTTATCTGGTCAGGCATGTGAGGGTAGTCACAGCTTAGGATAGGATTTCCCACCCTTTTACTGTAGCTTACTGGATTTATTCCTGGGTGGATGAACTTGGACCTGCTCGAGTCCATATTGTTTCTTCGTGCCCTACTTAAGCAGTGGTCCAGATCACTCAGTGCAATGAATCCTCTTCATTGCTCCCAGTGGCCCTTGTCAGATCCTGGTGTCTTTTATCCAGAATGATTTCTTTCTCTGCACCATTAATGAAAAGCGTGTATAATGCAAATGAAGCCTTGAACTGGAAACACCACTGCTTGTTGGGGGGACTTCATTTGTGGTTATATGCAGAAGTCAATCATGCAGGCATGTTTTAATTCTGATTTAATCCATGCATTTTAAAAGATGGCATTCAACTAAGAATGAATCTGAGCTGTTTTTACAGATATCCTAATTTTTATGTACCTCATAAAGCTCCACCCTGCCTGGATGTAGAAGCCTATATTTGACTGCCGGAATAGTCTGTGGCTTCTCTGGTTATTTGTGTATTAACCCCCCTGCCACGTTACTGCTGTTTTCGGACAACCTGTTGATATTTACTCATTCAACCACATGTCTGTGGCCGCTGAGGGGACTACAAGGAGCTCCTTCTCCTCCCAGATTCACCCCAGGCAGGCGGGCCTGCTGGCAGTGTGACTGAGCCAAGGGTTGTCATGCCCAAGCTGACTTGTGCTGGTGTTTCTCTGTGAGGATAGCCCAAGTATGAGTGTGGGTTGGGGGCTGTGCTTCCAGCTGATGTGGATGCTGGCCACCCTGCAGAAGAGCTTTGTATCCGCTTTCCTGGTCTAA